TAGAATTTTTGCTTGTTCCCTTGGTGAGGGATTAAATTTCAATCATTACTGTCAGTCATTTTTCAGCCGTGTTTCTTTTTTGCAAACTAAGTTGTGAACAGGGAGAGCAACTGCTTCTTTTCTCACTGCGTCTTTAAAGCTCAACCGTACCTCCTGTCTGCACTGTCCTAACTAACTGTATCCCCGACGTAACCCCGAGCCTTCCTCCTGAAGGCAAGCAGAGATGCTGCTTTTCTGCCCATTGGGTCAGGGTGTTAAACTAGTGGGGGTGTTAACTTATGTCTGCGGGAGAAGATTCCAGTTTGGGTGTCATGCTGGAATGGATCCTTTCTTATTTACCACTGTGGGAGAAACACATATGGGGGGGAAGGGGAATAATCCAGGCCTGGTAAAAGAAAATGGGATCTGTGTGATGATTATATATAGTTTGATATTTAAAGTAACATCAACTGAGCAAATATTTCACGTGAAAAATCACTAGCAGATTTACAAGTTTGTGGGAGCAAATTCTCTTAAGTTCCTCTACATCTAAGTTTCCGTAATCTCGACTATTGTTTGCACGGTTCAGTTTTAAGCATTGGTTCAAAATGGCATAGGTGGTTGGTTTGTTTTTGTTTTGTTTTTTTTCTGCCATTGATAAATTCTCGAATCATTGATAGTTTATTGGACATAACCTTTTCCTTTCTGGACTTTCTTCTGATAAAGTCTATAGAGGAGCTACAGTACTAGATACTCCTCTGATGTCTGCCTTTGTTCTGCCTTGGGGTTAGCTAATGTTCCTCACCTGTCGGAGCAGGCGTTCAGTACGGTCTTCTTATGACTGGCTTTACCTTGGCTGGGTCTTTGTTCACTACTTTCCTAGCCTGGCAGATTTCTCGGTTTTTCCCTCTCTCCCACGTGTGTTCTTTGTGTTGGAACACTTTCACATGTGCTTCTGCAGTAGGGCAGCTGCCACTGAAGACAGGACTCCTCTCCTAACAAAAACTGGAGGGAAGAAACAAAGTGGCTGAAAATACCTGAGCTCAGTCTAAGCGAATTAGTTGTAACATTTCAGCAAATACAATACTGGTAAAATACATTAGTTTACTACCACTGCTAGTAATGAAGGAAATGCTGGCTTAAAAGGGGTTGGAAGTGTGCATTGGTCACATAGTTAATATAAGAATTACATTGAAGGTCTGGGTTGTGGAATTTTGTTTGTTTGCTTGTTTAGCGTGGTGTCTTTGTGGGGTTTTTTTGTTTGTTTTTGTTTTAAAAACTGCAGTTGGAAGTTGGATTGCTGTAAAAGTAAAGCAAATGACTGCTTGATACAGTAAGCTAAAAACCAAGGCTATACCTACACTTTTTAAAGTGAAACAATCTTGTACTGAGAAATGGCTATTTTGCATTTCATAAATTTACAGTTCCTTGCATAGGTATTTCAAAGCTTTTCACTGATTTTTAAAGTGGGAGGTGTTATCCTATCGGGTATGAGGAGAAGGCTGTATTTCAGCGCTAGGACTTTGGAGCTTTTTGAGGAAGAACATTCCAGAAGGTTGTATGCCCAGCAGTAATGGATTTTCATTTTCTTGATGAAGAAGGAGCCTCGTGTTAACAGTAGACCCAGTGGGGACTCTGGTGTTTTGTGTTGTGCAGTCTGTAAGCAGTATACTAAAGAAATTCCATGTTTTGGGTGTGTGTGAAGTTTTTATGGGGCACTCAGGTGCTTTGGAAGGTTGTATTATTTTTTTTTTCCTATATGTTTTTCCCCCAAATCTAGTTATGTGATTTGCTTCTAATCTTTTGTTTGGTGCACAGCTGTTTTGCAGAAGCATTTCAAAACGATTAATTCTACAGCCCCCCTTCTGGGGAACAAATGTGTCCTTATTCACATACAAGGAAATCTTAGCTCTGCAAATGTCACAGGAAGAACCTTATTGTCCTTGATGGAGCCAGTCTAATGGTGTAACCAGAAGAAAGTAATTTTAAGAACTTTAATACTATTTCCCCACATTTAAAAACAAACCAAACCAAATAAAAATACCCCCAAAAAACCAAAATCAACCCCCCTCCAAAAAAAGAAAAAACAAACCTGATAAACCAGCACAACCAAACTCCTCCACACACATGCATACAGCTTTAAATGGACAAATGTTTAGCTGCAATTATATGATGTATTTTGACTCGTTATAAATCCTGTCCCCACTTGGGTAGGAATGTTTGTGCCGTTAAGCATTCAGCAAAACCGGGAGTACTTTACTGACTTGGGTTCTGCGTGAGCATGCCACTTGAGAAACTTGGCTTCCCTACAGTTCTGCCAAAATTGCATCATGCAAGTGCTCTGCTTGTGAAATGACATTGTTTCTCCCGCAGAGTGGCAGTTTTACATGTTGACAATGACTGGAATTGCAGAAATTGGGTAGCTTGGGGCTCCCTGTCCTGAGTGAATTTCGGAGGACTGCGTAGTCGATGATGTCAGCCCTGAAGTGTGGCCTCTTCCTGTGCTCCTTCCTATCCTTGCCCAACACCTCGGGGAAGCACTTGGCGACTCTTACAACAGGGGCTAGTTCAGTTTGGTTTTTTTTTTTTTTTTTTTTCTTCAGAGGTATAGGAAGAGTTTATTAGTTTTCCATCAGTCACTAGTCAATGTGTGTTTTATTATTAGTATACTGTAATATATCGAGAGATAATTTTAACTTGCCTGTGTTGTGAAAATAACCTTTTTTTAGAAGCGGAGCCTGTGTGGTGGCAACATCAGCCAACTGCATTGATGGTGGCCTCTTTCTTCGTGTTCTCCATGACCCCCGGAATAGTAAGAATTGACCATTTTACAATTGCTGAGATAAAATAAACCGATCTAAACTGGAGAGAGAGATTATATTGACAATGCCGGCCGCCAGAACATGCTTGATTGCAGTCCCCCTGTGGCTACATCAGCTTATCGACCTGTGGGCTATCTGTCCATTTTATGTGAGTCAGGAACCAGGGCAGTTTATTGGAGACTGCGGTTCAAAGCTCAGGCTCTCCTATGTCATTGTCAGACGGATTATTATTTTAGGGAAAAAAATTGTTGAAGGGTATAGTGACTGACTTCTTGTAAAATCATCAATTCCACCTCCATAAATCACATCCTGTTTGAACTGTAAGGGTTGTGTTTCTTCTCAGTTGTTCAAAACATCGTAACTTCTTTCTGAATTAATCTTGGGGCTCTCAGATAAGCATACTCGCATTTGAATAATGTTTTAATTGTTGCATGTTCCTTTGTGTTTTCTAATTGGAAAATGAGAACTTAAGCCTATTGATTTTGGCTGCAGATTTTCAAAAATGTCATCCTACCTTGGCCATAAGGGGTGACATTGCTGGTGCGTTCCAGAGCTTTGCTGTCAAATAGTTTAGCAACCATAGCTCAACCCTATATGATGTTCTGCTGGGAACAAAAATGAGTTTTAATAGCGTCCACTATTGTGCCTTATGGTTATAGGTTAATTTTAAATAAGGAAAACGCTCCTTTTTTTTTTTTTTTTTTTTAAAGAGTAGACTTCTGGGCTCCCTAGCACGTAGCTTTCACAGCTTGTACTGTAGCTAAAGGGAGAAAGTGTTTGTGTGTGTGTGTTTACAGACTGCAGAAGGAACCCTTTCTGAATATAGGTGATGTAACTTACATGCTGAACAGAATTTCTAAATGAGGTTTGGGGTTTTTTTAATTACCTTTCTGTCATGTGAACTGTTAGGTATCAGAGGTCATAGGGTTGTGGACTGCTAAAAGCTAGGCAACAAAGTCAAATCATGTTAAAAAGATCCTTGGACATTAATAGTTTGAAGTACTCTGGGACCTGTTTCTACTAATCTGTAATTTAAAGGAAATCAACAGCTTCTACTTTTTAAAAAAGAAATAATCTGCTACATTGATTTTCAAATATATTCTCACCTTCCACTCTCTCCCATCCTCCTCCACTTCTCTGTCCCCCAAAAACCCCTGGCAGCGATTAGAAAATTTTAGGTAAGTTCTCAGAATTTAAAGGATAAAATCAACATGTTTTGGTTGGCATTATAATATGTTTGAATGTCACTGGTACTGGCATGGGACTTTTCTCTCCCTTGCACACTATTGTGCTCCCTCACGTTGTTCCCGGTAATTACGGGGATGCGTAGGAAAACGTGGAGGCATGCAGCTGTCTTTATGCAGCTGACAAATAGCTTTGGAAAAGATCATTCTTGTTACAGGTAAGTAAAAAAAGACAGCTCATTCAGTCTTAACAGAATTCTGGATAAGTTTTGGGTAGGGAAGAAATGAAATGCAGTCAAGGGAAGTGCAATGGGTGCTATTCTCCACCCTGCTGACTCGTGCCCAGCACAGGACTGTGGTGAGCTGGGATCTTCCCAGGAGCGAAGGCTTCCTCTAAAATGCAGTCTTGTGCTGCCTGCCTGTGAACAAAGGCTTACTGAAGACAGTACCCTCTTCTTGATGGCAGGTTTCCCTGCTGAGTTACATTACTTGAAGTATTTTTAACTATATACTAAAAAAAAGATGGATAGCTTTGTTTAAATGCAGAAAACTTTTAAATAATATGTTAGTATGAGGATGAAGAACTAGAGCAGAAGGAAAATATATTTTTGGAATGTTGCTATATTTTGTTTTTCTCAGATCAGAAGTTTGAATGCCAGGTATGAGAGTTCTATAATGCTATATGCAAAAATCTAATGGGTTTTATAAATTAGGCTTTGCTAATTATATCTGAATAATATTTTATATACATTCAGAGGAAGCAAATGTAATACATTATGACTAGAATTTACTATCAAGGTGTTTTCATGTTTTAGTGGCAGAAAAAGCAAGAAAGGTCAACATGACTTCTCTTATTTTTAAAAGAGCAGTTCCAATCTATGAGGTTTTTCTCTGTATGGCTTTCTCATTTTTCCGTACCCTTTTCTTGCTTATTTCAGAAGAACTCAAAGAAAATACCGAGTAAGAACTACATGATATAATTTACTGATGAGCATGTTTTAATATTTTGTTGCAGAAGGACTCCATGAAAGATGACAGAAGAAGTTATTGTTATTGCAAAGTGGGATTACACTGCACAGCAGGACCAAGAACTTGACATCAAGAAAAATGAGCGTCTTTGGCTATTAGATGATTCCAAGACATGGTGGAGGGTAAGAAACGCGGCCAACAAAACGGGATATGTGCCATCAAATTATGTGGAGCGAAAAAACAGCTTGAAGAAAGGTTCTCTGGTTAAAAATCTAAAAGACACATTGGGTAAGTCCTTTTTTATTTTGGAAGAAGTTTAGTAGACTTGATATGTTTGAGATTGGGAATGTAATGTGCATATAAATAATTTTTAACATGCTCGTTTGGATTTTGTTAACCCTTAGTTTGAGGTGACATGGTGGATGATGGAGGGAGGGAGAGAGAGAGTGGGGGGAGAATCATGTGCAAAAATCTGTAACAGGTTTTGTTGCATCACATCAAGGAGAATAAGATGTTATTTTTGTTCATGTTTGTCAGAGGTTGTGTATTTTCAGTGGCTGAAGAACTGTGTTTTCATTGAGGTATCAACTACTGAGTCCTCTCATGCCAAGTCCTCTCACTCAGAAATAGAAGGATGTAAACTGGATTGTTCAGCATAGCTATCATAGCAAAGCTAAATCATTTTATGAATGGGATTATATGATGTAGCTATGTGCAACGTCAGGGGTTAAGTTTTTGTGGTCTGAGATGTTCCTCCTGCTTCCAAGTCCTTAATATGTACTCTGTTGTATATTTGCACATAAATTCTTCACAAGAGTGTATCATACATAGAAATAATATACCTTTGAAAAATGTTGAGTGTATTTTGAAGAAATGTCTTTGGAAGTCAGGTGAAATGAATTCTTTTTTTCTTTATTTTTGCAATGATTTTTAATGACTGATTAAATTACTAAAAAATAAAGGGCTTTGCATATGGCTAGAAAAGGTTAAACACAATGATAAGTGATCATTGTACATATAGATGCCAAAAAAAACCCCCACCCACTAGTTGTATTTTAGGATGTAATGAATAAAACAGAAACAGATATGCACCTGGTGGTGTTTTGAGGTTATTTTTTGCTTGTGTTTTGGTTTTTGCCTGTGTTTTGCAAAGTCTTACATAGGGAAAACTTATTCTGTTGCAGTTTGCTGTAGAAAATACTGACTCTTCAACAGAAAAATTAGAATTTAGGATTGGACTTGTTGGAAAGCAAAAAGGTTCACTTAAAAATAACATGGCAATAGCTCGTGTAGGTTTATCACAGCTGTCCTGTGCTAGCGTTGTGTCTAACAGGTTAGATTTCTTGCTCACTTCTTCATTACCATGTCCTCTATTGCCATAAAGTACATGGAAATTGAGGACTACAGGATGGGTGGCAGGCAAGCAAGGTTATCACAAGATTTACCATGGTAATATTTAAAGTCATAGGTCTTTCTATAGATACTCTTGGAATATACTCATTACAGTGCCAGCAAATGTGATTATGCCTTTTCAAAGATTTGTATAGAGAAGAAGCCCCAACATAATTAACTAGTTAAAATCAAAATCTCAGTTGTGACCTTAAGCTCCTTTTATATTGATTTATATTGTTTAAAATATATATATATATTTTTAAAAGCTACTTTATGAAAGGATTGTGTTTCTGTTGTGATAATATAGCAAGTGTTTGTGTAAAATGTGGACAGTATTTATTTAATGTAAATAAACACGTTTTCATTTGTATCCAACAGAAATGTGTTTAAGTGAAGGAACAGAGAGGAGTCCTAGCATATATGCATGTTTACCTCCTTGATCTCAACAAAGCTGCATGCTGCAGGGTGTTTCATTTCAGTATGGTGGCGACCGATGAAATGGTGTGAGAACAAAGCTTGGTGGTTTCATGGCTCAGCCTTCGCTAGTGTCGCATCTTCCAAACCTCAGCCCTTTGCACGTACACAAGTTTTTAAGTTCTGAAGGACCGTTATTACAATCAGCCTACTGATTCCCCTGTACCTTTTCTAATCGTTTCTGTGTGCATCGTTTGTTCAGCTGAGGCAGAAAATACCATGTGGTGAGCCTAGCTTTTTCTTTTGCAGTGACCACATGTACCCGCTAAGCGTACAGAACGCAAAGCACCTCTCACACTCTGTTATGCTTCTACATCCTGTGACAGTAAGAAACTGCCTAAGCTGTACCTAACCCACAAATAGGCTCAGGATGTTCTTAACACCCCCCCAAAAAAGTTGGTGCTTAAGAGTATTCTTTTTTTTTATAGTTTAAGGGCTGTGAACTGCTTAGCGTAATGAAACTTATGTCTGTGCTGTGCACTACATATCTACACAATTTTCTTTTTACCTTTCCTGAATCAGAGTCCTCAACTAAACTATAGTCTTTAGACTTTGCTTGTCTTGCTGTACAGTAATTTCCCATTCAGAACAAGGAGAGCATATGTCCTTCTTTAGAGGATCCTTTGTTCTGAGTGGCTGTCAAGAATGCTTTTTTTTTTTTTTTTTAAACGAAAGCTTGCAAATTGCAAGGCTGATGCTTGATCTAGTGAAACAGCTTTTGAAAGTTTTGCTGCGCCCAGTGAAACAAGTTCTTAAGTTCTCTTTATAGAAATATGTCTAATGATTCATCAAACGTGCCTCTCCTAAGATCACAAGAAAATTCACATTAAAATGCCCGCTAACCCAGCACAGATGGGAATGGCAGTCATGAGTATTCGTCCTTAAACCAAATCTGTTTCCAACTTTGATCGTGAAGCTATTACCAAAATACCAGGTACTGAAGTGAAAAAAAAAAAAAAGTCATTTAATAATCAGTCAATAATTAACCATAAGTCTTATGACATGTCAGGCTCTTAGCTGCTTCCAGTGACAAGGCTAGAGGGCTTGAAAGAGAAGGACCCTCTGATGTACCTGGACCCACCTTTCATACTTGCAGCGCTCCAGCAAAGTTGCTCCTGTGAAGATGCACTTTTCCCTACCTCTTCCTTAATCAATTACACTTCCCTGTGTTCAAACGTATTTCATCTGAAAGCACTGTTACCTCACAAATGGTGTGGTGTGCTGTCTACGTGATTGCCTGTAGCTATCTGCCACTCTTATGCTTATCCACAGTAGTTACTGGTGGTTGATTTATACTTACTTCCAGATGTTCAATAAATATGAAAAGTGCCATCCATAGTTCAAGTTGTGGCAGACGCCATAAGAGCTATTACTATTTAATTAAGTCCCCATAGTTGGCTGTTGAAGGTGCATCATCAAAATAGTTCTTAATCCATGTAGTCTGTGTTCTAATGAAAGTTTATGGCACCAGTTAATACATTAGTGTCTCGTACATAAAAAGCCAAATACACCACGAAAGTTTACTGCCTTTACGAAGTGGCCTTTTTCAGGAAAACTTTTAATCTCATCAGAGAATGAAGTCGTGCCTGTTTGATGTGAAAACTAATTTTCCTGGAACTCTGTTGACTGTCATCAATTGAATCTCAGCCCTTGCATACTTTATTAATAGAATCCCATCAGCTTTACCGTTGTTTGGCTTGGGGTTGGTGGAAGGTTAATGGGCATGTGGGTACCTAGAACATGCAGCTTGGTGGTTTAAAACATCAGCCCGTTTTCAGCACTGTCTTAAGGCTTCTGGTATTTCCATTGTACTACAGCATTTTTGGAAAAGAACATCAACAAATAAAAAGGGTTCAGAGCCAGCTCTTTTAAATGTGTTGGGTGCATATTAAAATGCTGATTAACACGTGCTTAGCGTATGTTCATTGAATCAGTTTCTTGTTGACTGAAAAACAGCTCACCTCAAATCTCAAATGACCCCCAGTAATTTCTGAAGGGATACTTTTGGATTATCCTACATCTTTTTACAAAACAATAGCCTTTTCTGCACCATTCACTTTGCCTTTCTCCTTCTAAGGGCTTACTCTGTTATACTGCATCTTCTTTTAGTCCTGTCATCAGGGAATTTTTCCAAAACTTTTAGATTTTCTTAAGTGACTTGGAGACGCTTTGAGACTTGTAATTTTTCTGTTGATGGGTGTCTGGTTTTATCATTTTTCTGTTTGATATACATTACTTCTGTGTTCTTAAATCTCTTTTTTTGAGTGAACTCTAATGAATCCATAGCTACAACAGCCTGGTTTTAATTACGGAAATGTAGCGTATAGGCCACTTATTAAGTATTTTAAATGCTTCATCTTCTCATTCCCTTTTTTGTCTTAACTGAGTGATACTGCAAGTAAAAAGTTAATGGCAATTTAGCCATTTTAAATTACTGTCTTCTGTTTGCTCATATTGAATGAAATCTGGTAATTATTACTATTCTTAAGGCAAAAGCCAGCTTCCAGGCCTGTGATTAAAATTTCATCTTCGTTCATTACAATGAAGTTTAAAATAGTTTCCTTGTACAGTATTTCTTTTGTGGGGAGGGTGTTTTTTATACATTTCGATGAAGTCTTACTAAGCAAGAGACCTCCAGCATGCATCTTCCAAAGTGTAATTTTCTGTAATATAATTCTTCCCATGCACTGGGGGTAGGAGGGAATTCCCATTCCCATTTGGATGGAGCGGGTGTTTGCCAGCACCACCCCCAGAGCTGCCTCTGAGTGCGGCTTCACGGGTTTCCCCTTCTGCAGCAAAGATGATCTCTATGCTTGCTGGCTCATCTCCGTCATGCCGAACAGAAACCTTATCTGAAGGAAGCAAAAATAATTTAAGAAGTCAGTTGTTTGTGTAAGCAAAATAAAACTTATGCATTTTTTCCATCCCTTTGCAAGTCATTTTCCTGGCAACAGCACAACGCCCCAGGCAGCAGTGTGCCACGGGTGACTAATGCATGTGATCCAGCAGCAGGGTGCCATTTTCATGGCAATCCACAATTTTCTGAATGTTACTGCTTTTGCATAATAGGAATTTCTTAAAGGTGTCTGGTCTTGCTTCCTTTAGTGAACAACCACATAAGAAACCATGAAGACGTTTCCACTCGGTTCTTGGTGTGGGTTTTTGAACAGGTGCCCAGCAAAAGAAAGAAGGCTTATTAAAAGGTATTGAAAGAGAGATTGGACACGAAGAATACAGGAGATGCGTTTCCAAAATGCGTAGGAACAGTAGAAACACTAGAGAGGAGTGTTGGCAATGATGGCAAATAACAGTAATCTGGATAACATTTCACAGAGACGTTTAAGTTCCACGAGAGACTCTTCAAATGGCTTCTTTATTAAGCTTCTGTAAGTCAGCAAAACCTTTCAGTAACTTTTTAGTTT